TATTCTAGTTGTTGATTCATTTAAACTACTCTCAAGTTGGAAGAATGTTGCCAAGCTATCACTATGGCAAAGCTGGTCAGCTGACTATCTCCTTAACTGTTTGTATTTACTGTTTTCAGTTTAATTCAGGGAAGAGGGTTTGAAATGTGTAGTTCATAGTTTGAATTGATTAATAACCACTTATATGATATCAAAATGTCTATTAAAGGTGTTATGAGAAGATAGAAGTTATGTTTTTATCAATCATTTGTCATGTTTATTGTCTGTATTGGTATTTTGGGATCTTTTCTTTGGTGTTTATCACTAGTATGAAGAATATAACTATATAAACATGGTAAGAGAATTTTATTTTAATAATTTATAAATTCAAATTTAGAATATATTGATGAATCATGTTTGAAGTGTAATTAAATTTTGTTAAAAGGATCATTTTGGTTGTACTTACTACTGAATATACATTTGTTGGCTCTGCATCTATTAATGAGTTATTTTAAATAAGATGCTGTTTAATGTTTGAAGATTTACTTCAAATTAATATGATTTATTATAATTGTTGATATTTACTTTCGCATGTGTTCATTGTAATATTCTTATTCTTTTGTAAAGAAAAAAATGGAAAGATTTTGTGATTTTTTCATCTTTGCTTCTTGTTGATTGGTTTCCTTAGAACCTGATATTTTTGTGAACTAAAATAGTTGTAGATATTTTGTGTTTATTGTTTTATAATTTATTTATTTTTGAATTAGTCAAAATAAATTATTACTAGACATTTTGTAAACTTAAATGATTGTAAAAAAAATGTTTGTTGTTTTAAATATGACAAATTTTATTACTTAATTATCTTGTTATATGATGTATTCCTATAAATTCTGATTTAGTTCAACAAAGATAATAGCAATTTTAAGAAGTTAAATTTTTTTGAATATTATTAGTTGTAAGCGTGTAAAAATTATATTAGATTTAGAGTGCATACTTTAGTTAAAAACATAAATAAGTAACTTTGGACTTTTCTTGGTGGTTATCAGTTAAGGTTTATTTGAAAGACAAAAACAATTTCTTTATTTTTCGGTCAATATTTAAAAATGGATATTCTTACAATTGAACTGAAAAATGTTATTCTTAATTAAACCTTATCTCTAAACTTAACTTTAAATTGTAATATAAGCCACAATTTCAATCTGGCTTAATAATTAATGCTAAAATTGTAGATAAGTAATGCCTAACAATGTTCGATTACTTTCTCATGTTATAGCAATGTTAATAAATGTTTATATTTGTTGTTAATAAATAACCATCATTTGTGTTTTGATTATGTATACTTTGGTATATTAGTAATTATTCCTTTTATTAAGCTTGATCTTAATGATCATAGCTTGAACATTAAAAAATATCTGTGAAATCCTGCTGATTTTTTATTTTATTCCTATTTTAGGACATTTTTATTTTCTCAATTTTTAATTATTTAAAATTTAAAAATAATAAGTTTATTAGACATTGTATTGAACTACAGTTTGATCAAATAAAATTATAAGGATTATTTAATAATGAACTTATTATTATTTTATTTATTGTATTTTTTTTTATTGTTGAAATAAAAACTTTCCAGCTTGTGATGACCTTTGGCTTAATGGATTTTTCTGTTGTATTTGTTAACACTCTAGTATGCCCTATGTGGTATATGCATATGTCACAGATTTTAGTGAAGCAACTGTTAGTTAATAGATTTCCTGTTAAAATGTAATTTACAAAGTTCGTCGTAAATCCGTTTGCTGTATATCTACTTTTACTAGTGTTATTTAGTAATGAACTTATTATTAGCCAATACATTTTTTAAGTAAGCAGATTTTCGTAGTATAGCATTAATGATGTCGCATCCTCTCATTATCACGGACAAAGTTTTATCTTTCTGTGAGAATAACTATTATTAATGTGTTTGCTTTTTATAGATTCTCATTAAAGTCATGATTCATTTTGTGCTGGTGAATTTATTGAACTTGCTAACTGTTAGTCATATAATGGGTTGGGATTTTTTAAAAAAAATGATTACTATGCCTTTAGTGAAATAAATATAGCTAAAGCTAACTGGTATGAATTCATGTATGTTATTCTTTTATTATCAAACATAATGCAGGGTAAGTTAGTATAACATTATTTAGTTCATATCTATTGAAAATTTTATTAGATTTTCATTAGATGTAGAATCCTTTAAAGCAGGGCTTCTCGATCTATTTTTTATCAGATTAAGAAATACATTAATAAAAATATTATACATATGAGGATGACGAATAGTCAGGTTTTAATGTCTAGATATGATTTATTATGTCGACTACATTTTGACCCAAGTATATGGGTCATCATCATCAGTGCTAAAAATTAAAAAAATATAAGATATAGATATAAAACCGAATTACGTAAATAAGCCAAGATGGAAAGTGTTGATAAGATAATAATAATATAATCATAGTAGCATGCAAAAAAAAAATATATATATATTAATATTACAAATAAATTAACTACATGAATAGCACAAACAAATAAATAAAAAGTGGGGTTAAGAATAAATGAGGTGAAGTTTTTAAATTTAAAAAAAAATATATAAATGTTGCCAAGCTAAATAAACCATAATCTAGTCTGCAAATCCTGACTATTTATTATCGTGATAATTGAAAAGCAATATTCAACAATATATCCATCTCTGTAACATATTATGTATTCATTATGAATGTCATATTAGTATTAATCATTAAGGAAATAAATTAGGTTATATGAAGAAGAATATTAAATATTATTCTGATGAAAGACATAGGTAAAATATATGCAAAACATATAATAATTATATAACTTTAAAAAAAACACAAAATTAGTAGCAATACGAGTATACGATTGTATGAGTGATAACAAATTACATAAACAAATATACTGATCATTGTAGTAGGTTTAATGAATATTTCACTTGCAATAGTTTTAAAGTATTTTTTATTTATTCAATTACAAATAAAATTGGTTTAATTTATGATCTTTTATAAATTTTATTTATTTTTAAATATATATAACAATTTTATTTATGACAGAAGGTCATATGTCCTAACCTAACCTCTGTCACCATTTATTTTTATCCTAACAGTCTTCTTCCTGCAGTCCCCTTGCTCCTATAGCCTCATGTAAACCATTCTCTTTTCCGGATGACCCCTCTTCCTCCTTTCCAAGGGTCGATGCTAAAGTATTCTTTTAGGCCATCGGTCGTCCGTCATTCTCATAACATGCCCAAACCAACTCAGCTTTTTTGTCTCAATGGAGCTCAGAATGTTAAATGGTTTGTTCACTTTATCTCTAATTGCATAATTTGGAATATGTTGTAGTTTTGATATTCCACAGCTACGTCTCCAAAAATCCATCTCCATTGATAACAATTTTCTTGCCGAGTTGGTTGAAATTTTCCAGGTTTCTGAGGCATATAGTATTTATTTTTAATATATATTATTATTATTATATAATATTATTTATTTTAAATTTTAATTTATTTCTTGTTCTTTCAAAACATTGCCATGGGCACTTATAAATAGCTCCGATAGCATATTAAAAAAGTGTGACTATCTCATAATGAAAGAAAGTTTATAATTTATAGATCTTTCAGGAACATGAGCCAAACTATGTTTTGTTATGGTTATTATTGTCTAAGTAGTGCTTCATTACTAGATTATGAGCTTGAAATTTTCAGTTATCCAATTGTCATTAATTTAGTTAACTTGTCTCTAAGCTTATTATTATTATAGTTCTTCCTCTTTTTAAGAGTTAAAAAAATAATATTGTCGCTAATTAAAATATAATAGTGTTTAGTTAACTTGAATTTTAACTACATGAAAATAATGATCATTTAAATTTCTATAATTTTTTCAATACCTCTGTGGAATATATGTTTATTTCTATTGCAAATTTATACCAGTGCTCAATTTCTATTCAACTTTGTTTAAATTTAAGATGATTTATGACACTGCCGAAGCATACTAAAATCTTTGAAAGGATTGAGTAATGTCATACCGACCTCAGCTATCAACCATGTAATTTTTATTTATAATTATGATATCACGACTTTGAAAATGGAATATTCTAATTTTTACCTATATGTCTTGCAATACATGCTAAATAATGTGTTATGTTAGCTGTTAAAAGTTCAAATAAAGGAAAATGGGAATTAAATATGCTTGTTTTCATCTGTATATTTTCTTTTAAAAGCTTATTAATAAAGTTAATGGGCTGCAGTACCCTTGTCATATTCACTGAGGCATTCTAGTTATCCACGAACCCTGTTAAGACCATACATTCTTGGACTCTTTTTAGTCCATGTCTAAATGCTCTTGAAAACTCTTAATTACACAGGTTGTGATAAAAATAGTCAATGGTCAGGTTGAATACTACTTTGATTTGACTAGTTGTGTGGGCACCAATACTGATTCTGATTATGTTTTTGCATAGGAGAGTGAAAGTCACATTTTAAGATCCAGTGACACACCTCTAGCTTCTTATGAGCTTACGATATCATTGTGGCTAACATTTTCATAAGCACTTTTTACATTTACATTAGCATAACGAAATACTACCACTGAGTCACTTTAGTTATTCTTTGCATCTGTAATTCTTGTATTAAACCTGCTTTCTATAATAATAGTAGACAACAATAAATGATTCTTGAGGAATATACATGAGCGGAATCTGGTCCGCTATAAGACATCCAGACTTTAGATTTATTATGTATATTGTTACTATTTATTGTTTATCACTATTAACACTTAAGTCTTGATTTACTTTAATAATAAAAACATCAATACATGTAAATGATATAATAATTGAGTATACATATCATTGTTAGTAACTATAGGAAGATTACATGAGTCAGGAATAAATGGGACAGAAGATGGATTCATTCCATTTCTCTGACATCATTATATTGATTGGCTTATAACATTTGTTTGTTGTTAGGAGTTATAAATTATTGGAAAGGCATGAGTATTAAGAAGGAAAAGGATGCTGTCAATGAGAAAGAGGATACTAGTGCAAGCCAAGAAGATTCTAAAGCCGTATCCTACTTTAAATCATTTATGTCTTCAAATACTACAGCTTCTAAGAAAGAAAAACAAGGTATTTTCATTTGATTTGGAAAAAGAATTTTCAGTTGTAAGATATTTAAATGTATTATTAATATTATTTTTGTATAAAAGTTAAATAATGACTATTATATTTGTTTTAACCAATCTTGTGCAAATGCCAAACTTGGCCTGGCAGAGTATTTACCTGTTGGGATTTTCAGGAAATTCATAAATATGTCGGTGAATTTTTGTAGTCAGGAATTAGTTAGGAAGAATCCATAGTAAATTTTGTGAGTCAGGAAAGTAGTCCTAAGTTCTCAGCTTAAATAATTGTGGGATAGTTAATTTTGGCAGTTACAAGAATGAAAGATACTTCTTTTAAAAGAGTTTATCTGACACTGATACATATGTGCTGCTTAACCTTGTGATTCCCAGATGATGGGCAATTTTTAAGATAAACTTTTTATAATTTCAAAGTTAAAAAAATGAAAGAAACTTCTTATAAGAGAATTTAGCTGATACAGCTCAAATTGGTCCTTAATATTCCATTATGAAGAAATGTTACTCAACTGTATAATGGAGAGGGAAAACTCAGGTCAGATTAAATGAATTGATTAATAATTATAGTGGGCTGAAAATTGCCTGTAAAATGATAATCACCCAACCCTTTAATTGAGCAATCTAATTGGTTATCTTAGTTATAGTGGATATTTCCATTTTATTCATTACAATTTTTATTACTGATGCATTGATTTTGATTTATTATTTTTAATTATGAACCATTTTATAATCAGCCAAGAAAAAGAAATTGACTGCTCCTTATTCAAAATTTGAGTCTTAATGTTTCAAGATATGTAGCATTCAAAATTTGATCAAAAAATATCTGCCTTCTCTTCAAGATTACTGGGCCAATTTTTTTTTTTTTTTTATGCTATGAATTAATGATAGGAAGAACTTCGTGATTTGAAATTACCGATTGCCATTTTGTTGCAAAATGGTGGGCGATCAGAGAATTCAAGACTTTTAATTGAGACTGCTGTGTCAATGTTTTTGTTTTTATACCAAGATCACAAACAACACCATGATGATCCTTAGAGCTAAATTTTACCATCCTCCATATTGTTTAAAAATGGCAGCTGGTTTGAAGTTGTATGTAGTATGTACCCATATCTCAGCAATTTATAAAAATAGAGGGAAACAAATAAATTAAGATTTTCTTTTGGAAATTTCAATTGCCATGCAAAACCATGGCTGGCCTGGTTTGCTGTTACTAATCTCTTTTTATATCAGTTCCCGAATGTTTATTTTTCACTATAAAACATTACTTGAAAGTTTTGTAATTTTTTTAAATTACTTTATTTTTTTTTATTGATAAATATTACAATCTGTCTCAATAAAGGACATTTATAATAGAGTTCTGAGAGCACATTCACACCATATTTACAAATTAAAAAAATAAATAAATAATTAAAAATATAAGCTAACTTCAAATAATATAAAGCTACAAAAGAATATCATAAAATATCATAGTGAGAAAAAAAAAAAATAAAAAAAAAAAATAAAAAAAGTAATGAAAATAAACATCTTAGACGCAGGCATACCTATTACACTATTTACAGTCGGCCATAGGAACTCCGAACCATACTTATCCCCCCACATGTGGAGGGAAAGCAAGGCTTCAGGAGATCCCTGCGCTTCTTGCTCAACCATTTCACTGGCATTGAAAGCCAGCGGAGATTGAGTAAGGGCGCTACAACCACAGACACTCATGACTTGAGTGGAGAATCTGGCCATTGCTAGAACTCCAGTAACTTTATTATTAAATTATTTTAATTATTATTACTAAATATTTTTCTTATAATATTCAGCATCTCTATATTCAATCAAAAATTTCTTACGGTATTTTCTTCTTATCGAGTAAAAGGCTTGTAGTTACTAATAAATTTTGAATTTATTGTGCGATAGTTAATATCTAGTGATTTTTAATATCTAAATATTTCTATTCTTTCTCAGGAATAAGGCCTTAATCTTTGATCTTTTACTAAATCATTGGTCTAAAATCTGTTTTTCTTATTTAGGAAGGAATAATTTCAATATTTTTTTAACTTGGATAAAATTACTTAATCTCTTTGTTAATAATTCAAGTCGGGTCATATTAAGAGACATATGGGGTTATGGTCAGTTATGGGATTCTCTTATTCCAGCTATTGTACATTATGAGGATAAATGATGAACTTATTTATGAAAAAATATTATGACTGATCATTTACTAGAATGAAACAAAGTTGTCAGGATTTACAGTCAAGAATTTTTATTAGGGTAGCCGATGTTTCAACCCAAACATGTTGATCATCCTCGGGGCTAAAAAATTACAAAATAATAATAAATAAATTTTAATTTTTATAAAATAATAATAATAATAATAATAATAATATTGCTGTACCAAATGATGGAAACATCAACTCAGTCTGCGTCAAAAAAATTCGGAAATATCAAACTCTTGCAGCCGAGTTAAAAGATTGTACAGACTGAACAAAGTGACAGTAAGGGCTTTAGTGATCTCTAGCAATGGGCTGATTCCAAAATCCACTGTAGAAGCTACCGAGAAGGTGGGCCTCTCAACAGTTACAATATATGAAGCCTAGAAAGCTGTGCTGCTGAACACTGCTAGAATCGTAAAGTGCTTCCTAAATATCCAATAGAATTACAAAAAATTGACGTGAAGTGGTTGAAGTTAATTCTTCCCCACTCCAGGAAAATACCTTTTTTTTTTTAAGTGATAAAGAATGAATAATAATAATAAATTTTATAAAATATTAATAATAACAATTTTTATTAAATAATAATAATAATAATAAACTTTATAAAATAATAATAATCAATTTTATAAAGAGTGATAAATATTCAGGACGCAGTATTTTTTAAAAAAAAATTTAATTTTTTATTTGTGCCAACGTTTCAACCCAAACATGTGGGTCATCTTCAGGGCTGAAAATTTTAAAATACAATCAGAGATATAATATTATATGAATGATAATGGTAAATAATAAACTATAGTGATTGATGGTACATGAATCTTAACTAATATTACAATATACATATAAAAAATGTAATATGTAAATAGTTATACAAACTAAAAATAATGTATATAATCCATTTATAAAATTTTTTAATATTTTCTCTTACTAACCTAGGTTTGAACACTGAGGGTGTTTAAGTACTGACACATTTGATAGGTAAGTGAAAAGGTCAGGGGGGAGGATTTCCCACTCTTACCACCAAAAAATCAGTGTAGCTAAAAACCTGATACACCGGAGTCTAACATTAACCGACCCGCAATTCCACAATAACCTAACCAAACTACACAAGATCCTGAAATCCAATGCCTTTCCTGATCACATTATAAAAAACCTGATCAAAAATCAATCCAAACCCCATCTTCACCAGTCTTCCACAAAGTGCTCTCAGTCACCCACGACGATTTGAAAATACAGATCCATTCCATACATCCCAGTCCTATCTCAAAAAATCAAAAAAGCTTCAACTTCCAAATTTCCCCATCTAGAAATAGTTTTCAAAAATAACAGTTAATTAAGAAATCTATACACAGAACTCAAAGATCCTGTTAATATATTGTCCTACGTATCATTTCAATCCATTACAATTGTATTTATTATAAATATTATTTGGCTAACTATTGTGTACATTTAATGAAGCTATGTTATATTTATATTGATTGGCACCTCTAGCTTATGTTTCTTTCATTATTAGCCACCAATAGTCACAATTCTGTTACCATACAAAACAACGCAAATATTGTACACAAATGAAATATTTAGTCAGCAAATTATTTACATTCTACAAACAGAAATATTACCTCCCTTTCCCTCTGACTATGTTTACCTACCTTTTGCTATCTGAAAAAGGACAACTGGGAAATCCTCCCCCTGACCTTTTCACTTACCTACCAAATGTGTCAGTACTTGAACATCCTCAGTGCTCAAACCACGGTTAGTAAGAGAAAATATTACAAATTTGTATAAATGGATTATATACATTATTTTTAGTTTGTATAACTATTTACATATTTCATTTTTAATATGTGTATTGTAATATTAGTTAAGATTCATGTACCATCAATCACTATAGTTTATTATTTACCATTATCAGTTGTATAATATTATATCTCTGATTGTATTTTAAAATTTTCAGCCCTGAAGATGACCCACATGTTTGGGTTGAAACGTTGGCACAAATAAAAAATTTTTTTTTTAAAAAGACTGTCCTGAATATTTATCACCCATGATATGTAGAACAGTCGACTAGCTTCCTTCAATAAATGTTATAAAATAATAATAATAATAATAAATTACATAATAATTTAGCCCTGAGGTTGACCCACATGTTTGGGTTGAAATGTCGGCTAACCTAATAAAAATTCTTAACTGTAAATCGTGACAGTTTTGTTGTATCCAAAAAATATAACACAGTCCTTTACAGTCTTGATTTCAAGTCAAGGAAATACATACGAATTCCTATATGAGTCTTTCCTTGTATAATCTTCTTTTCTTATTAATTTTGTTCACAATTTAAATATAGTAGTAAAAAAAAAGTAGTAAAAAAAAAAAAACTTAAATAATTTTATTTTAATATCTAAATGTATGATCATACAAATAAATTTGAGAATTATAAATTCTTGAACAGTACATTTGTCATATTAATCATTAACAATTACAGTTAAATTAAAAATAAATAATATTGTTATTATAATGTTAATTTGAAGACCTTAAAATTATTTGTAAAGCTTGATATGTATTGGGGAGTATGTAGAAAGCCTTTTTTTTTTTTAATTCTAATCACAAGTTACACATGATAGTGAACCGTAGTAGATGGGTGCAAAATGTTTATTTATTTATATTGATATACAAATTATTAGAGAGCTTTTTAATTCTAAATCATGCAAGAATAAATATTCATAGCTTAAATATGTACCCTATTCGATGATGCTTAAAAAATTTTACAATCAATATTTTTTTGTAAATTCATTAGAAATAATTATTAAATAACCTACCTGTAGTTTATGGACACAAATGTATTGAAGGGAGATGTATTGGACTGATGGAATTTATCAAATTTTATGCTTTGTTATTAACGATATCATTATTAATGCCTGGATAATGTTTTATCTCTTGAATGAAGACTGAACATTTTGTAAGTTATGTATACTTGTTTCAAATTGAGTTGTACAAAGCAGGTCTGATAATAAGAAAATCATTTTTGGTGATATAATAATGCATCAAGTATTATAAAACAGTATTTTCATTTTTATCTTTTGCAAGGTATAGTCTATTTGGTTAAAGTATTTTGTTTTCCTAACAATTATGCTAGATTTCAAGATTAGATGCTAGATAGTTCCTATTTCAGTTATCTTGTTGGATATGATTATTATATACCTCACCATATGGTGAATACATTTTTGATATAATCTGTTAGAATGATTTCTAATTACTCATTAGTTACTTTTAAATTTTACTTATATTTATATTTTATACAATTTATTTTTAAATCTTTCTCAAATGTCAGTGGTTAGTTGTTTTAAAGTAAAACAAAATGTTTTGTTAAAATGTTTTTAAATTTTATAGATCACTTATTTCCCAATTCATAAACCTATTTTTTAAAGTTTACTGAAACCCATAAACATTGTTATTGTTTTATTTAAATATTAATTTTTTTAAAATAATCAATATTATATTATTAAAGTAATAATAAAAAAATACAAGTATGTCAATAAATTCCTATTTAGCCTGAGATATCACATTACTATTAACTATTTCTTAAGAAATAAATTATCTTACCTTTTGTTTCTAATTTTAATACAATTATTTATCACCTTTACATTTGTAAAAAAATAATTCACATTTATAAAAAAAAACCAATTTACTTGATTGTATCATCAATGCAAATACTGGTTTATGTGTATGAAAACATTCATGCTTTCTCTTGGTTTATTGATTGGTTTTGGAAGTAGGGAGCATGCTCCCTCCCCACCACCCCTTATTCCAGCTGTCTCACCCCTTGGATCAATTGGGTGGTCCAACTCACCCTTGGCTCTTAGTTATGGAAGATATTACAGAAAGATTTGAAGTTTTTTCATGTAGCTCTTTTCATTATCTTGTTATTTTTAAAAAATGTCCAATGCGTTAATTGGTATCCTGTTAATAATCATTGCCAACTGATGTGATTGCTTTAGATCTCATGCAAACCCTACGTAAAAAAACTAGTCCTTGTAAATGTAAGAAACTTATATGTTTTTGTTTTTAATTTTTGAAATGACATTCCTCTACTTCATTAGTTTTCCAAGCCTGTTTTAAAATGTGTCAGTTATTTTTAGTAAATTTGTCTGCATTGTATTTCTTGGTTAGTTTATTTTTGCTCATGAATTTATTATTTTCTTAATTATTTTAGCTGTTTTAAATTTTGGTTTATTCATATTTAGTTAAGATTTGTATCGCAGTAACAAATCAAGTAAAGATCGTTTTGATTTATAGTATTTAAATTTCATAATGTTATTTGTTTTTAATAAATAATAAATCTATAAATAATAGGGTGGTGACATGTAAGTATATTTTTAAAAATTAAATTAATTACTTTAAAATATTTACAAATATTTAGTTGATTCATATTTGTGATTTTTCTATTTGTTCTTTGTTTTTTATAAAGTCTATTTCTGCCTTTTACATATATATTATTATTTTTAATTGTTAATGAGAAAACTTTATTTTTGAGTCCTTTTATAAAGTATGAATTTTTCCTCTCAAATGTTTTTGAACTATTCTTGTTATTTTAATGATTTTGTTTAAATTAATTTTTATTTTGTTATGGAGCATGTGCATCTTGATAAAAATTGTTTGATTTATTGTGGTTCTTATTTTTAACATTTGGGTACACCAATAATTTTTTTATGGCTGGATATTACAGATAAAAATGAACCAGCAAGATTCTTGGGAGATGGGGTGAGTTTTAAAGCAAAACTGATCGGTATTTTGGAAGTTAGTGAAGCAAGAGGAGACAGAATGTGCCAAGAAGCGCTAGCTGATTTAAAAATGGCAATAAGAGCAGCCGGTGAACACAAACAAAGGATAAACATTAATATAGCCATTGATGGACTAAGATTAAGGGATGAAAAAACTGGGGTAAGCTATTTTGATTAAAATTTATCAAAAGTAAAAATGATTTCTTGTTAATAAAGGTGTTGATTTTCTTTATATATATATTTTTTTTTTGCGCTTTCAAAAAAATATTTTACTTTTGTTATGGAGTTTGACCTAGTTAAATTGAATAAAATATCCATCTTATTTTACTAATTTGCTCACTGACATTCAGACCACCCTTGTGGTTCATCATCAGTCCTAAAAATCAATGAGTATTGAGGAAACAACTATGTACTAAGGATATATTGGTCATGGGTTGTGCTGTACCATATTTTTTCTATATACAACCTTTTTCTCTTTTATTATTGCTTTTTAGATGTGATTGCTTAGAATTAAGGACTAAATATCTATAAGAAAATAAATAAAAACATATGATGAAATAGATCTCCCAACTGAACAACAAATATATTTTAGAATTATTATTTTCATTTCATTATGGAAATCATCTCATATATAATCCATTTTAAAATAAATTGAATAAATTTTCTTATAAAAATTGATTATTGAATATTGTTTTTAGTAGCAATGAAAGTAGTTTATAATAAATGTGCTTTGTTATAAAGGTATCATTTAACAGGCAAAGGGCTTAGTCTGATAATGAAGGCATTTTAATCATACTGTAAATTTATTGGTTAATCTATATTAATTATAAACTTTAAATTACTTAAGTTTTCAGTTTTTTTTCTTAACTCCTCTAATTTGGTGGAGAATAAATATTAAAATATGTGCTCTAATTTTTCATAAATGGAAACTCCTAATAAATATAAGTATTTCATTTACTGTGTATGAACTTAAAATTATTTTTTTTTAGCTCGGACTTATGAACTGTTTTTCTCGTGCATTAGGTTCTGATTTAATATTCCCTTGATTTATTATTTTTAAAAATATATAATTATCTATTTTATTATTTTTATATGGTTGGTATCTTATTTACTTTCTCTAAAAATAGTATGAGGTATTCCAAAATAATGTCTATATCACATTACTTTTTACTTATTAAAGTTGATTTTTATCAGAAAAAAATAGTGTGATAGTAATATATTACGCAGGTTATAATCATTATATTATCTAGAACATGCAATGCATCATGCGCTACAGTTCTCAAAAATTTGACCTTTGTGTTTTTTTAAATATTTTCGAGCTTAAATCGCTTTTGTGAACTATTGTCAGCAGATTGTAAATGATGTTCATGATTTCCAGGATTGTTTGTATCATCACCCAGTTCACAAGATTTCATTCATTGCTCAAGACATGTCTGATTCACGTGCCTTTGGCTATATTTTCGGGTCACCAGATACAGGCCATAGATTTTTTGGTATCAAAACTGACAAAGCAGCTAGCCAGGTATTTTAATTTTTTTTTCCTTTCATTCCATGGAGTTTCAAAATAATTTTTCATAAATACTGATATAAGGAAAAGTGCAAACTACTTGTTCATATTTCTGTACCTTTGTTTATGTTTGAATATCAATTTTTTTATTTGTATTCCACATAGGACAACTCTTGTAAGGCCTTAGGTTTTAATTACATAAAATACTCTAATCGTAAATTATATTGCTTATTTAAATTATTTTTCTTTATACCCACTCAATGTGAATGGTAGACTTTTATCTTTAAAATCCTTAGAAAAAATCGATTTCTAATATTTTTTCTTCTGGTTAATTTAAAATGCTGTTAACATTCACACTTACTGAATCATAAGCTGTTCATTGTTTTCATTTTTACTTTCACTTATGTAAATGAAGTATGTAGCTAGGGGAAGCATTGTGGTGTGAAATATTTTAGATCTGTGTTTTTAACACAAATATGTGTATTATGGTTTCCGAAGTCCAAATAAATAAGTCTTATAAAATGATGCGTGTGTGTGAATTGAAATTATATATTTAAGATAAATATATGCCTGGAACGTCGCAACAACTTTTTTTATAAAATCTGCTTATCAAAAGTTACATTTTATAACATTTATTTTACAATTTTAATAATTTAACTTTATTGAGGGTTGTTAACATAATTAATGATAAAAATTAATTATCATGAATGAAAAATTTGTAACTAAATTTAAGAAATTTGATGGTAAGTGCATCATGTAATCTTTTATGTGGTATTTGATTAAATTTTAAATCAGTTTAAGTTGAATTGTAGTATCAATGTATATTAGTGTAGGAAGATGAATTTTTATTATTACTAGTGACCGGATTTCCATGTTATTGCACATTTTAATCACTTGTGTGTAAAAACTTCAAACCTCATTATTAATCTGTATTACTGTAGAATACCATTGAAATTTGGTATTGCATGAAAATTACACATTTTGTGCTAATTTCCACATGTTTGATGCATGAAATTGCATATTTTGTACGTTTAGCGGTAAATTTTGATTTAATAGCATAATATTAAATGTTTGAACCAAATTTACTTGATTACATGAACATCCATTAATATGTATGTAAATTTTAGTTTAGTACTTGTTTCTATATTAAATTTATGGTTAAGAACAGGAGTGTCGAACCCTTCTGGCTGGATGTCACTATATTGTTTGGAGGTTCGGAATGAACTTTTGTTTTTTTTTGTTGAAATTTAAATTTCGTTTTTAATTCTTTCATTTAAAATAACATTTTCAAGTTCTCTTTCTGAGATAAAAGAATACTTTAGACTCAACATGTTTTATATATGTAACAAAATGATTATCCAAATAATCACATTTTATTTTATAAATAATAGTATAATGTGGGAGGGGGTAACATATTAATTCTATTATGCTTTTAATTTCATTAAGGTATACACAGTCAATGCTCATCACATTTATGGGTCTATTATAGAATGATATATATTTATTTACTGGTTTCAAAACAAACATTTATTAAAGTATTTTTAAACAAACAAGTCCTATTGCTGCTTGACTGGAAGTTGTTTGATAAAACACCCTCAGATTTTGTGAGGCACTATGGATTTAGATAAAAGGCGCTTTCGCATGATGGGTAACAATTAATTTTATTTAGTTTTTTTATTTTGGTTTAACTTATTACTTGTCACAATCATTTTGCATGAATTGAATGTGTCTCTCTTTTGTTCTAGATATATTTTGTCAATAAAATCAAAATAATATTTGTTCCTACAAGGAAAAAAGTCATTTTGGCACTTGAGGTAAAAATAGAAATGCTTGACCATTTTTACCTTGAACAACATCAAATGACTAAAACTAAGCCTGATAATAATTATTTATATTGTTAAAAAAAATTCTCATTAAGTATTTTTTTCTTTTGATATTGTTTCCTTTTGACCAATTATTTTAACCCCACACAAATTACTATTCTGTATTCCTGGTGTATTTATGGAACATATCTCCTATGTTTAAGGAGCTTTGATTTTAATCACAGTGTATGTATTGTTATTATTTATATTCTTAATTTTATATATCATTTTTCTTTAATCTAGATTTAGATTAGTCATAATTCAATGTTGAATTATGTTTTTTCTCAACTTACTGCTCGTTATTTCCTGATTTTAATTCAGTTGTTGTAACTATAAGAAAGAGATAAGATAAGGTTTTCTTGTATTAATATTATAAATTAAACAAACACTATTATTTTTGCATGTTTAAGGTATTATATACACAATTGCTGTATGGTTTTACTGCACAGTTTTGAGTTTTATACTGCACATTTTTTTTTACTGTACAAAAATATGGTCTCTAATAATGAACTTATTAATTTTTTAATTCTGAGTTTCGGCATACCAAATCTCTTTATGAACATCTTTTGTGAAAAAAGCCTAAAAATAGTAGAACAAAAGTGGGGAAAAGATTTAAGATTTCTTAAAATTATAAAATAAAAAAATATATAAGAAATTATATTATGTATACCTAACAATTTTTTTAAATGTAATGATAATTACTATAAACTAACCAAGTTTCTGTCTATAAGTTGACAGCTCTCAGTATTAATTAATGACTTTTGTATGAGCAACTTAATAAAATTCAAACTAAATGATTAACGCTAACTAAGTACTTAAATGGTTTACTAATAGTAATGGAAAATAACAGTTATACTATGCTATTGAAACTATTAAATAAAGTACTTAAAAATCTAAAATTCATAATCGGATTACCAAATAATATTAGCCTATATATATAAAATAATAAATAGTAATAATGTTATAAATTTTTAAACATATATAGGAGGGAAAAGTTTCCTTTGCACAAACATTATTAACAAAGTAGATGTAAACATAAATTTACTGCTAAGTTAAGTTAGGCAGTATGCCGCCACATATCTTAAATGTTTTAAGCTCAATATGGGAGGTAAATTAAAATTATGAATGTTGTATTTTTATTGTGAATAATGCAAATTAACAGTTTATTAATGTATATTGTTAAAATATCTATTCAGAAAAAATAATACGTTTTAGTATAATATACTTAAAGTACATAATGATGCTTAAACAGAAAAATTTAACTTGTAGTGCAATGATAAATATGATGAAATTAAAACAAACAACAACAGTATAATGAGTTAATGTTTCTGTTTATAAGGAAAATATAAAAAAAAAGGTAATATATTCTAAAGTAAAATAAATATTGTAACATGAATTAATGTATGAGTAATAATGTTGAAAGATTAATTATATGTGATGTTACTTATATTTTTGATAGAAAGAAAGAAAAAAAGTTAATTTTACCAGGTGAGGTGGTTAATAACTTTTAATTTTTTTAAGAGATAGCACTGGAAACAAGTATTGGTTTATAATCTAACCTCTTATATTATTTTGTTGCTATGACAGTATCTTTGAAAATGCTGTTGATGTTTAAATGATTTCGGGTTAGCCTCATATTTTTTTCTTGTGATAAACTTGCCAAGTTTTAAGCCAAATAATGAACATTTGCAATATTTACGATTTTTCATGTTCGATCAAAAGAAAAAATGCAAGTGAAACTTGCATACTTGTGTACGTATACTTGTGGAAACGTATGTTGAGAATGTCCTAATACAAGATGCTTGTGTTGGTTAGACAATTCAAAGGTGGTGGTTATGAATTGAAAGTCGAAGAATGCCCAGGATCAACAGAAAAAAGATCAAGATGCCGTATTGCAAGCATTGTTGGACAACAATGATACAATACACAAACTCAACAACAAATGATAGAGAGATTAGATGTGGTCTCCAAACCATTTGTAGTTGACTACATGCTATGGGAAAGATCCAGAAAGTAGGAAAATGGGTACCACATCAGTTGAATAGGTGCGGTTTGACAGGAGTGATAAAGGTGAGTGACAGATGAAAATGAAAAAAAAAAAATTTTGTGAGACTGCTTTCTCGCCATAAAATAAAGACTTTTTTTTGCATCACATCATGATTGGAAATGAAAAATAGATATATTTCGAAAACCCAAAAATCATGGGTTGACTAAGGATAATGTTAAACATTGACTGCAAGACTGAATCTCTTTGGAAAGAAGACAATACTGTACATTTGGTGGGATCAGAAGGGTATCATGTACCATAAGCTTGTGAAACCAGATGAAACAGTTTATACCGTTTGCTACTTATGGGCTACAAGACAAGTAAAATTACTTTAGAGCACAATATCCCAAAACCCCCAGTGTCAAAGACACCATTTCTTCACACGGCTGGAAACTTTCCTCATCTGTCATATTCACCAGACTTGTTCTCTTCTGATTACCACTTGTTTACATTGATATCTCGGGTACTCTCCATGAAAAATTTCAATGATTATGAAATGTCGAAAAATGGTTTGATGATTGGACTTTTTTCTGAAGGTTTTTCTGGGAGAGGTGAGGAAAATGTGTGACTAGCGTTGGTGCATACTTTGAACAAACCATTTTTTACCTTTCTCCCAGTTTAAACTTAAAAAAAAAATAATAAGAATTATCAACCGCCGCACCTATTATTCTGGGATATTTATTAATCTGAGAATAATAGAAGTGCACAATGCCAGTTATATTTGTCTCACAAAATTACAGCCAAGAAATAATTAAATTATTGAGTTATGAAATTATAACATTATGAAATTAAAATAAAAGCATAAGTAAATAAATGTTGGTTTGTTAACATATTTACACTAGTAAGTAATATAAGTAATAAAAGAAAATTAAGACAGACAATCCTATTATACATAAAATTACTTACAGAATCAGAAGATATATTGAAAAATAATTGGCGTTTAAATGAAGTTAAAGATGATGTTTTGCGTTTAGAGGTGGATGAGAAATTGCAAAACTAGATAGTACAAGTGATAAAGGATTTTTTAAAGAAAACAGTTCTATGAGAATAAATGTACAGGTTTGTGGCCTAGGGTCTTATGTTTAAAGAGGGAACAGTGGAACAAGCTATGAATAAATCAAGAAGGAAGGAGGATTTTTAGTTTTAAAGGTTCGTATACACTTAGGAAATATTGCTGTTCGAGTTGTGTGAGCATCTGTGAACTCCGAAGATGTATTTAATGGAACAATTCATTAGTCTCTTCAGTCTAATCTCATGCCCACTAGACATCCACCATATACAAGGCAGAAGTGGGGGCGGGGTGGCCGAATAGGCTAAAGCGTGTGCACAACACCGCTAGTTGCCTGGCAACCGGATAACATATATTTGAGATGATATAAAAAGTACTAGTTCGCGTCCCGGTGCCGGAGGGGATTTTAAATTCCCCGCCCTCACCCCCCGGCCCGGGAAAATCCCGTATAGCCTAAATGCGAGGTAGGGAAGAACAAAAAAAAAAAAAAAAAAAAAAAAAAAAAAAAAAAAAAAAAAAAAAAAAAAAAAAAAAAAAAAATGCAAGGCAGCCATAATGAAATTGGGAAAAAACAAGAAAGGAAATTAAGATACGACGGAGTCAAGCATGGAATTTCTGAAACTTTTTTAGGGTAGCAATGGATTTTCAGATAATTTAGAAAATATGGTTATTCCAGAAAAGGTATTGATCAAAAATTGTTCCAAGGTTTCTAACACAAGTGTGGAAGTGGATAGGTATGCATCATACCTATTTAATAATAATTATGGTGCATGAAACCAATGAAAACGCCTTTCGTCTTCTCAATGTTTAATTTTGCTGGCCCCGTGTTGTTTCTGTTTATGCCTTCTTGCTGCTTCAACTGTTTTGATAGGATAAAGTATGATTTTTTTTTCCTTATTACTTGCTATTGTGTTGCTGATTGTTTAATAATCAGAATAGGTCATTCATTGGTTAAATTGAGTAATACATGGCACTTATTTATGAAAACTCTTGAATAAAATTGTGCTTTGACTTTAGAGCAATCTTAGCAGCATTGGAGAAAGCCTATGAAAAAATAAAACAAATGATTAAAAATCAGCCGCAGTAAAAGTGTTTTATTAATGATTTTGTTTTAAATATATGTATTATAATGTTTTAATTGATTTTTGTAATAAATTATATTTTAAGGTTGTCATCACCATGAGGGACCTTTTTCAAGTAGTTTTTGAATTAAAGAAAAAAGAAATTGAAATGGCAAAGCAACACATTGAACAGCATCAAATGAAGTTTTCTGCTTCTTTATTTCCTGATACTGCAGTTAAGGTAAATTAATGTAATTTTATTGCTTTATTTGTAACGCATTTCTCATATTCATACCTTCAATAAAAACAAAGATTAGTTTTGTAGACAATTTTTTTCAAAAATAATTATTAATACTAAAATGACTTACGATTAGAATACACTTTAACTATCGACATGTTATAACCAAGAAGGAGAGATTGCGAAACGTGGGGTCACAGATTTCTATGAAATTTTTTTTTTTGTGATACTAGGTTGAAAAATATTAGACCCATGTCCAAGGATTCTTGCCAATATGCGGCCTTAGGAGCTGAGAAAAATAAAATTATAACATTTTATTCTTTTTTTTATATTACTGTTTTATGACTTTGCTTTGCATGGATTTCTAAATTATTATATAATCGATCGATTTTTTTTTTTTGTAAAGTAAGAAAACATTGCTAATTGTATTTAACGAATTATAATTATAATAAATTACAAAAACCCAAAGACACTTCCAGTAAAGTTGGCCAAGTTAATTTTTGTCATGAAAGAGCGATTCAGATTCATTTTTAGGATCCACTTAAACTTTTAAATACAAGTCAGTTTTGAAATAAAAAAATATAAATTTTTGGTTTTAATTGTATGGGAGGATTTTTTTCATGCTGTTTACTGAATTATTCATAACTCCTCAGTATATTTTCCTAATTTAACATTATTGCAACCCTTGGAAAGCTAAATTATTGCTTTTCAAAACCATAACAGTAAATTTTAGATATTACGCGTTTATAAGGAATAAATAAAGAAATATTCACCAAGCATTTTTATTTTTATCTCAAAGCATAATGTATTTGTAGGCTTCTGGTTTGTTGTGCCATTTTGTGTATATAATAGGGCCCTTAATTCATGCTAATTTTTGTATGTATAAGTGGAGCCATGTCATAGTTATCACAACTTTTGTAATTTTTGAAAAAAAAAATCGAAGGCTTCAGCTTGGCAGAAATTTTGAGCAAAAAACTTTTCATTTTTCAATTGGTATGAAAATTCATATTTAAGGGTGATGCAAAATACAAATCTCATTAAAAAAAAAAAATTAGATCCACTTTACTCCGAAGGTCAATTTGTAATTGTTTCAATATTTTATGCATGCTGTATGCCAAGTATATATATTTTTTAAAGGAAGAGAAGAAACGAGTTCTAAAAGTTTGTTACTGCTATCTTATTACTCTCTTTACCTATATATGAAATGATAAATGCCAGAAATGTTTCATGCAACTTTTCAATAAAATTGACTGACTGGAAATGGCACTTTCTATCACAAATTTTACACCATTTTCTCAAAAGATATCCAACAATTTTGATTAAATTCATCATATCAGTGTAAAATTAAGTTGTCATTAATATTAGGTTAGTATTATTCTTATTGAAATAGTTTGACATGGCTTATATTCCTATTATTCGAAATTTCCTTCTCTAAAGAACCTTTCATTTTGTTTATTTGAAATAAATAACCACTTCATATTATAACCATGAATAACAATGTTTAAATATTATCTATAAAAGAATTTTATAATTAACTGAAGAAGAAATTAGGGATGATAATGTGGGACCGAAAAACCTGAACTTTACCCAAAGGTTAGGATAGTTTACCCAAATGTACCATGTACTTAATATAACCCAGGCTCTGATAATGCTTTGTGCATATAAATATGCTGTTTTCATAAATGCTAGCTCTGATGTTATTTAATATTTAATTGTATAGATTAAAGCAACAAAATAATCAAAATCTGTATATATACCAGTACTTAAATAAATCAAAATACTCACAATGAAGTATAAATAAATATAGTGAGTGGTCTTCTTAGCAATGGCACTCTTTTCAAACTAAAATAATTTTGTGGCACATAATTATTTATTATAAATAATTAAAATATGCAGTTGTAAAAGGAAATGGTTAGTGATAAAAAATGCATAAATATAATACATTATGTGGCTGGAAAAAACATGGTTGATTAATTGTTTTAAATAATATGTTGAAGAATTTATAATTTATTTTTACTTTACTTCCCGATATCTGAATATATCCATTTCTATTAAAAGAAGGGTTAAAGTTGTGTGATGCTCACACCAATCTACATATTTTTTAAAGCATTCTATTGTTATTTTTTACAGTTTTGCATTAACACACAACAATATGCTATATAAAAATACACCTTTTCTTTTTAATTTTCCAGACATCATCTGATACATTGAAAATTAGACCAACTGAGGATCAAACAAAAGGAAATACTTCAACAAATGATAGAAGAGATAATCAAGAACATATTATGGATCTGCTTGATTTAGAGCTTGAACTTAATAACATTCAGCAAGGAATAAATCAAATGGATAGAATAACTCCCTCAGATCCATTTGGCCCATCAATGACTCCTAAAACAACTGCTCTAGATCCTTTTGGTGACTCATTTAATCCAATGCAAAACAGAACCAAAATCCCTCCTCCTCCTGAAAGTGGGAAGAAGAATAAACCCACAGAGAGGCACTGGTTTGATCAAGAAACTGAAGCACTGTTTGAAGAAACTGAGCTTCCTAGCACCACTATTTCATCACATCAAGCAAACAACATTCAAACCACGTTTCCTATATCTTCTGTATCGGTGTCACCTCTTCCTTCTAACAATGAGCAGGCATGTTATCTATATAGTTTTCTTTTTTTCAATCATTAACTTAATTTTTCTTGTATTGATTATTTTTATTTAATTTGGTTCACATTCATATAAAATTGTATGCTTATTTCTTAGTTGAAAGTTTATTAAATATTTTTAATTATCTGCAGCAAGTATTAAAAAAAAAATTGTGATTTAGTTATTTTGAAATTTCATTCGAAATTTATTCATTATTTTTAGCTCTACAGTTGTAGCTCTGTGTGAATATATATATATATATATATATATATATATATATATATATATATATATATATATATATATATATATTGGGTTGGCAAATAAGTCCTTTCGGTTTTTCTGTTTATTTTTATGCCACTATTATACACTTCTTATTTGATGAATTAATCCCTAAGATGGATTGTTTATCCTGTTTGTAAAATGTCAACATCCATATCTGTTAACTCTTGTTGAAACCAGCTTAGTATTGTATTTGCTATTGCACTGTGAATATATAATAAAATATCATTCATTATCAAATACCATATTTTGTTGTATTATTTTAAAAAAGGTAAGTGTGCTGCAGAAGCTCATATAAAAATTTGCATTGTTTATGGGAATGATGCCTTAATCGAACGCACCTGTAAAAATTGGTTTGCCAAATTTCATTCAGGAAATTTGACATCAATGATGCTCAACATTCTGGTCGCCCACATGAAATTGAAACGAGCAATGTTAAGGCCATTATTGTTCAAAATCCCACTCAATTAGTGTGAGAGATTGCTATGTCCCTAAATGTGTCGCACACAAGTATAGAAAACCATTTGCTCAAGCTTAGATATGTTTCCAGGCTTAATGTTTGGGTCCCTCACTCTCTAACCGAAGCCAACTTGGCAACACCCATTTCTATTTGTGTTTCACTACGGAAAAGGCAACAAAATGGCCCATTTTTGAAAATATTGGTAACAGGTAAAAATGGTTATTTTACGATAATTTAGTCCTTAGAAAATCTTGGAATCTAGTTGTGAGACTCCTAGAAGAATGTCAAAACCCGGATTGCATCCAAAGAAGATAATGCTTTCCGTATGGTGGGATTTCAAGGGTATTATTTTCTATGAGCTATTGCTATCAAGAGAAGCAATTGATTCAACTCTATTCTGCTCACAATTAACAAAATTGGATCAATCAATTAAAAATAAACGCCCAGAACTGGCAAATCGGAAGGATGTTGTGCTCAACCAAGACAACACTAGGCCCCACATCTCATTGGTCACTCGCAGTAAATTATTGAGCTTTGGATGGGTCCTTTTGTCCCACCCTCCCTATTCACCATACCTAGCTCCAAGTGACTACCACTTATTCCGGTCTCTCCATGAACTCCATGAATGGGAAGAAATTCCAAAAGGAAGAGGACATCAAAAACCACTTGGATCAGTATTTAACAATAAACTCCAGACATTCTGTTAACATGGCATTATGCAGTTCGTGGAAAGATGGGAAAAAGTCATATTAAAAAATGGTCCATATATTGTTGATCAAAATAAATTTTATATCTATAATACATTGAGTTTTATTTTACCCCGAAAGGACTTATTTGTCAACCCAATATATCAAAAATCTCTGTGTATCAAACTTTTTTAGGAAAATTGAATTTTTGTTAGAAAAAAATATTTGGTATTTTTATTAAAATTTATATGTATCAAAAAATAACAAACAAATTTAATAGAATATGTAATGTAATTTCATCCAAAAGGATTCTTAGTTTATTTTCTCATTAGTAGATAATTTAATATGAAAAAATTAAAAAAAAAAAACATGTTTCCATGTTTGATAGAACAACAAAAACTCTTGAAAGACCTTGTTTAAAAAGAAGTATTGTGGCACCCTTTGCAGTCAGATTCCCTGAATCTCTTTCCTAACACATATTAATGTTTTTATTTTAAATTCGGTTTAACTTTATCTTTCTTGTTGCAATCATAACTCCTCCTCTCAAAAACTCTTTAAACATGAAAGGAAAGTCGATGAAAAAAAAAAATTAAAAAAGTGGAATGGGAAACAAATATATGACAAAAAAAATATGAAGCTATGACAAGTATGGTACCATCAAAGCAGGTTACTTTGCTCTTTAAGAGATTACATTTCCCTAATCATGTTATATGTATCATATTCAGTACTGTCCTTAGACATATATCTAATTCAAAATTAAACATTCTTATATACTTTGTAATTTTTTGTTTTTTAATTTCAACAAGTGGCAGGCCCCCCCAGGCAATGCCTGGGTTCCTCTGCCCTAAGGCTGGTATTGTTTGTGTTAATGCATGTATTCCACCAGTGACTGTTATGACGTGAAAGGCCTTGTAGGGAAAGGGGTGTAGAATATTTTTTGGCTGACGGGTGCAAAGTTCTGTGGAAGATTAAACATAAGTTGTCAGATATTTTTCTTTCTCCTTTTGTTATTTTCTGTTAGACAACTTATCTTAAACTTTTATCACTGGATTTCTTCTTGTGGAAGTATTAAGGTGACTGTGAGCTCTAAGTTCTTCAAATTCTGTGGTAAAGAAGCAGATATCAGTTGTAGTTATTAATCTTTTCTTTAGTCGTAATTTCTAAAACTGTGACTGTACTAATTTTGCACCAAGAATTAGGGATACTTTGCTCTAGTAAATTTCACATGCTCATTTTATTCGCCTCAATCTACTCATATCAATTATATTTACCTCAGCTTATTACAACAAGTATAAATACTGTTGCAAAATAATCCACTTTAATGGTATCACTATTTTTAAAACCTTGATTCCAAATTTTGGAAGACATCCTGATAGTTTTAAATGATTAATGAACAGGTTGTAAATAAGTGCTGTATTACTGGATGGAACAAAAATAAAAAATTACATAAATTTTGTTCGATTTATTTATTTTATGAAAATCAATAAGATATACAAGAAACATTGATTCCTTTGTCTTCCAGAAATATTTTGATAGTCTACTGCATGCATCTACTTCATTGTCGATCTAAGCAGTCTGTTTTCACTCAAAAATATAGTATGATTATCAGAGTACAGAATCGCCTGTCTGCAAAGATGGGATATGAACTGTTAGAGTGCTCCTTGAAACCATCAGGTCCATTAGGGCATTTACTGTGGTTCTCTCTCAACCATGGTGGATATGTCTATCAGTTTCTGTTAGTTATCAATTCTTCTGTTCTCAAGACTCACGAGATGTGGTCAATAGAATTATCCTTCAGTTTACATATATTTCCATTTGTGTGAAGTTGAAAATCGATTAATTTATGTGACTCTGTTTGCAACATAAGCTTTTCTTTGTTCAAATTGAAACATTATATATGCTAGAACAATATTAGAATCTGTTTATTACCTCATCATGGTTATTAGTACTTCATATGGTTATTAGTAAGACATTAGTACTTCTCTCTGGGTTAGTACTCCAAATGGGTAATTTTTCCCAGAGGCAGGAAGGTTAACAAATGAGATTTGCTTTACCTTTTGAGTTGATCACAGTTAAATAAATACAGCTTCATTATAGTTTTTCTGGCGTATTGCAGAATCCATGAATTTTATCTGCTTGCCATAGAATAGAATTTCTATGTTAATTGGTCTAGTGTTAGTTTCTATGTAACCAACAAAACACTAGATCATGACCTCAATATCCCATTTTTCCTTAACTTTATCCCTGAAAATATTTCCAAATTCCATCAGAACCTTATCAATCATCCAAATCCTCTAGCACAATCCCTATCTAGTTCCACTCATCCCTACAACCCCCCTCGAAGGTTGAAGCAGCAGTGGCCCAGAGATCTTTTATAGTATATATCTAGGAGTTCTGGCAATGGCCAGATTCTCTACTCATGACATGAGTGTATGTGGCTGAAGTGCTCTCGCTCTAACACTACTGGCTTTAGCACCAGTGACGCGGTTTATAGAGTAGCGCATGGGTCTCTTAGAGTCCTGCTTTTCCTTCTATAGTTGGAGGAAAAAGCCTGGCTTTGGGTTCCCTGCCTGATTGTATATATTGTATATAGGTATGACTATGTTTTTAATTTACTTATCTTTAGGTTATTTTTTATTTTTTTTTATTGTACATAGTTTTCTTTATTATTATTTTACTTTTGTTAATTTTATATTTTCTGTATATATGGTGTGAATGTGTTCATTTATCACTATAATTATTGTCCATGAGACAGAATATTATATATAGCATTTCCAAGTCAATTTCAACCTTTTCCAAGTGAAATTCAACCTTTTCCAAATCAAATTAAACTTTTTCCAAGTCAAATTCAACCTTTTCCATTTCAAATTAAACCTTTTCCATTTCAAATTCAACCTTTTTTTATTTATTTAATTATCTTTAATTTTTCGATGCGTGGGTCTGTTATCGTATGAGTAGTTTTTTAAAATAACCTCCTTTTTAAGATTACATGACTGCGTTTCGAATTATTTAAGTTTTTTTGACTTATTCGATATAAGGGTGTATTTTTATGTTTCCCGATCAGTAAATTTTTAAAATGACATCTATTTTATGTTTACGCCACTGTGTTTTGATTTATTTAAGTTTTTAGAATTTATCCAATATAAAGGTCTACTTTTTTGTTTCCGGAGCCGTAGATTTTGAAAACGACCTCCATTTTAAGATTAGGCCACCGCGTTTCGACTTATTTGAGTTTTTCGGATATTTTTCATATGAGGGTGTATTTTTATGTATCCGGAGCTGTAGATTTTGAAAATGACCTCCATTTTAAGATTAGGCCACCGCGTTTCGACTTATTTGAGTTTTTCGGATATTTTTCATATGAGGGTGTATTTTTATGTTTCCGGAGCTGTAGATTTTGAAAATGACCTCCATTTTATGATTACGCCACTGCGTTTTGACTTATTTAAGTTTTTCGAATTTATCCAATATTAAGGTCTACTTTTATGTTTCTTGAGCCGTAGATTTTGAAAATGACATCCATTTAATGATGACGCCATTGCATTTTGACTTATTTAAGTTTTTCGAATTTATCCAATTTAAAGGTCTACTTTTATGTTTTCGGAACCGTAGATTCTGAAAATGACCTCTATTTTATGATTACGCAACTGCGTTTCAACTTATTTAAATTTTTAGAATTTAACAAGTATAAAGGTCTAATTTTATGTTTCTGGAGCAGTAGATTTCCCCCATTTTGTAAATGACCCAATTTAAAGTTTATGCCACTGTTTTGGATTATAAAAGTTTTTTTTTTTACTTTTTTGGTATAAGGATCTACTTATATGTTATCTGAGACGTATTGAATTTTTTCTAATCTTTAATATTTAAATTTATCTAATATTTAAGCTCCATTTTATGATTAAGCCGCTGCATCTCGATTAATTAGGCTTCATTTTGGATTTTTTCAATACAAAGTTTCATCAATATGTTTTCGAGTATGAATAAATAAATAAATATTATGAAGCTAAAGTAAAATTAACCACAGAATACAAACTAAAAAGCCGAAAAGCAACTGGTAATAAATTTAACCTTCCGTATTCAGATTTTTCAGCTAATTGTTCGAAATCTTATAATTTTGTGATAGGAGACCACAACATTAAAAAAGATAACTAAAATTAAATTAAAAATGAGACAATACATATTTTATTTATTTTGATTAGATATTTTTATTTATTTATTGAAAAATAAATTAATCCTTCGTATTATGTTTTTATTCGAAGAAAAATCAAAAACACTTAACAAAACCGAAACACAGTGGCCTAATCTTAAAATGTAAGTCGTTTTAAAAACTAAGGCTCCGGCATCATAAAAGTAGACCTTTAAATTGGATAAATTCGAAAAACTTGAATAAGCCGAAACGCAGTGGCGTAATCTTAAAATGGAGGTCATTTTCAAAATCTACGACTCCGGAAACATAAGAATACACTCTTTTATGATAAAAATTCGAAACACTTAAAGAAATCGAAATTCGGTGGCCTAATCTTAAAATGGAGGTCGTTTTCAAAATCTATGGCTCCGGAAACATAAGAATACATCCTCATATGAAAAAAATCCGAAAAACTCAAAGAAATTGAAATGCGGTGGCCTAATCTTAAAATGGAGGTCATTTTCAAAATCTACAGCTCCGGAAACATAAAAATACACTCTCATATTAAAAATATCCGAAAAACTCAAATAAGTCGAAACGCGGTGGCCTAATCTTAAAATGAAGGTCGTTTTCAAAATCTACGGCTCCGGAAACATAAAAGTAGACCTTTACATTGGATAAATTCTAAAAACTTAAATAAGTCAAAACACAGTGGCGTAAACATAAAATGGATGTCATTTTCAAAATTTACTGATCGGGAAACATAAAAATACACCCACATATCGAATTTGTCAAAAAAACTTAAATGATTCGAAACGCAGTCACGTAATCTTAAAATGGAGGTTTTTTCAAAACTAGGTACAGGACAGCATAATACTAGTCCCTAAGAAATCCGAATAGGTACAATAAATCGATATCCGTAAGTGAAAATTCTACTTAGGAGTGCATAATAATAGACTTTCATATTGGAGGGGGGGAGGGGATGGCCATTATTTAAAAAAAAATATATAATTTACAAAAACTTAAAACATTAATTTGAAATGAAAACGGTTGAATTTGAATTGGAAAAGGTTTAATTTGAAATGGAAATGGTTGAATTGACTTGGAAAAAGTTTGATTTGATCTGGAAAAGGTTGAATTTGACTTGGAAAAGGTTGAATTTGACTTGGAAATAATTGAATATCACATAGAAATATCACATTGAAAAAATCTAAAATGTTAAAATAAATGGATATGCAACTGCGTAATCAAATTTTTTTTTTGTATTTTTTAAAAGCTATGCCGTCGATAATATAGTAAGTTGCCTTCATTTCGAAAAAAATCGAAAATTGACAAAAATTCTAAAGTTGAATTTGAAATGGAAAAGGTTGAATTTGACTTGGAAAAGGTTGAATTTGAAAAGGAAAAGGTTTAATTTGACTTGGAAAAGGTTGAATTTGATTTGGAAAAGGTTGAAATTGTCTTGGAAATGCTATATCTCAATAAAAAAAAAAATTTCCAGATACCTCAGATTCCCTGTTATACTATAAGTCTTCTGCCAGTGCTGATATAGTCTATGCAGTTATGAGCGCTTTGTCTGTATTTGCTAATTGCTGCATCATGTTATTATAAATTGTACCTCCACCCTTTATTTTTATTTTTTTTTCTGGCTGCTTCCGACAAAAGATTAAAAATCACTAGATAGTGGATTTACTTTTCTATGGCCTACTTAGTACTGTTGTGAAAGTTTCCCATTCAGAAGCTCTCTACTGTATGTACCAGCCTTATTAATTTTTTGGAGTTCCTGGATTCTCCAGATGCTCATACGTTTTCCCCTTACGATTGAATCATATGTTTGTCTGAAGTCCACATACAAATGTTGCAAGCTTTTTCTAGCATTTGCCTTTCTGAAATAAATCTTGTCTGTAGTTGATCTTCTGGTCTAAATCCATGCTTGTATTCACCCTAAACCATTTTCGCCTACCTAGTCATTCTTCTGCTCATTCCCATCCATTATATATTATATAATATATTTGTCAATAAAATTATCCTTATTGGACATATGAGGGGCTCAGACCATTATTCAAGCATTTTCTTGTACCTCAATACATCAAAAATTATTATATAACTGTCTTTCCACAATTTTTCCCGGCTTTTTTTTTTCATTTTATTTTGGATTCCATCCAGACCTGGTGCTTTTGAGCTGGGTGATTGTTTCAATAATTGCTTTCATTTTTAGTTGGTAAATAGATTATGGTTAGTTATATTCTTTGACTAAGTTATGAGTGGTTTTATGATAAAGAGAAGTTTCCATCTGATATGTTCCTCAATAAACTAAGAGTCTTCATATTTTTCTGAAAAGCAATTACGCATCATCTGCTGACCATTTGTGCAAGCTGAAACAACCACTGTGGAAAATGTGAATTAGTTGGGTTTGTATGTAATTATACGGCTTTATCTAGAGAATCACCTCCTCAGGGAACATCATCCACTTAGAAGTCTCTCCAAAATTTTCGAAGCCTTTGATTACTCTTGTGTTTAATCTTTAGTAACCTAAATTAAACATGGAGTTCCAAAAAATGGTGCAAATGCTATGCCAGATGTTGCCGTATCAAGTTTGTATAAGTTCTTTTAGGATTTTATTGCCACTAAATTTGTTGTATTGCTTGATCTCTTTCATCAGCGCTTATTTGATGATTAATTATTTTTTATTTGCTTGATTTGTTTTCCCTAATTTACATCTAAATTCAACACATCTGAAATAAATATTACACCCAAACATTTGTTTCACTTCAACTAATGATTACCCTGTACTTTAGGTGGTGATATCTAACTTTTATCACTGTAAACCTTATAACTGAACTTCACTTTCTGTGGTAAAATCAGACCAAGATCCAAAATCAAGCAATGTCCAAAATGTCTATGTTCTGCCTTATCCTTCATTGAACTTTCAGATTGTGATAAATCAAATAATTTACTCAAAATTGGAATCCATTTTCCTTGTCCCATCTACCTGATCAGTCAAATTTAAGATATCAGTTTAAAATAAGCATTTCTTTTGCGAAGTATACACATAATTAGCTCATTGTTTGTTCTGTTTGGAATGGTGGTCAACAATACTGTTGTCCTGCAATATCTTACTGGTTTTGACTTACCTTGTCTGAAAACAGCTTATCTGTTTCTAATGGCTCTAACATTAGGACTTTGGTTTCTAATAATTCAACACACATTGATTAAAAGAAGGTTTTTCTGTTTTGTATTCTCTAATTTTTTTTTTTTTAATTTTACTTTTGTCTTGCTTGATCCCATTCCTTTTGCTATAGCTTTATAATATTTCCTCTAAAATTCTTCTTACTCTTCATTCTCATCTTCTGTTTCTGACAATAACACATCAATTTCATCTTGAACAACTTATAATGTTTTCTTAACATTCATAAAATCATTTGTTCTTGATTTAACTTCTGTTATATCATTTTCATCTTCTAAAGCAGTGGTCTCCAAACTTTTTGGTCGTCAGGCCATATTTTGATGACCTCCACTAAGTATGGCAGGCCACGGATTCTGATGAAAAAAAAAGTTTGTTCTATAAATGACACTTCAATTGTGGTTTGAGCTTTCTAAGAGAAGCAACTCATGTGTTATATACTTCAGTAGTAACCCTGTGTTTGAGTGATATTTTTAAATAGTTTTTAAAATTTTACCATGTAATCAAAGAAGCTTTTGTAGCCAGATTGGAGGTGTTGGCAGGCCAATAGGCCTTAGTTTGGATATCCCTGTTCTAAAGTGTCAATAAATTTAGTGATTCTTATTAAATTACCCTTTATGATACTTTTCTTATTGAAAATTTCTTGATCTTTTCCATCTTGGTTACTCACTAAATGGTTGTGGACTATATTTTTTTATATACTTGTAAATATGTGTCATATTAAAATTATGTCAATTTCATGAAAAATGAAGAAGTATAATGAACTAAAAGAAACATGCATAGCCTTCAGAAGTATTGTTGTTTAGTTGAAATTTAATAAAAAATTTTATGGAGCTGGTGCAACTGGTTCAACAACTACTAAAACTAAATTATCCCTTTAATTGAAATGAAAATAAAATTGCCTTAAATAATTCTTTAACTCTAAAAATGATTCAATTGTTGATTTTTCTTCTATACATGTTTGATATATAGAGATTTGAATGCAGTTATTACCAAGATATTTTTTCATATTTTTTTTTTTTTTCTAGATCACTGATGACTCTTTGATAAGAAAACTAGAAACTTCTCTGCATCGAGAACAATTTGATGTCTTTACTGATTTAGATCCACTTGGGACTGGCCGTAGTAAACCATACATTGATAAGAAGGATTTCTTTCAAGATTTAAAAAATCCACCTAAAAAAGTGCTTAAAGATCTAGTCTCTGAGTTACCTATTGATTGCAAACATTTGCCTGGTGATTGTGATTGTGATACTGCTTCCTCTCAGCAAAACACTAAAGCTGATACCACAAAAAGTGCAAAACTACCATCTGCTCCTGTTTTATACTCAGATCCCTTTCAGAGTGATCCATTTGATAAAGATCCTTTTTCAGATGTTGATTTCTCATGTACAATTTTCACTCCAAGTGCAAATTCTGATCCATTTGAGAAATTTGCTGACTTTTCTTCTTTTGATGTCAAAAAAGATGATTCAGCATTACCAGAAAAAAATAAAACTCTGGAAGATCAATCAAAAGCTCCACCATTAAGAGTTTCTTTACCACCAGAAAAAATAAATACCATTGAAAGTGTTCCTATGAGTCCTCATCAGTCACGCAGAATTAATAGGTTACAAAAAAATAATACAATAAGTTGTATAATAAAACCTCCTAGTCCTGTTTTAAAACGTAATAAATTGGTTAGTCAGCCATCATTAGATCATTTAGAAAGGAATTCTCCTATTATGGAAGGTGTCACGATCAGGAGTAAAACTTCCAATTTTTACCCCTCCATTCCAATAAGTACCTTTAATGACACTATTGCTCCTGAGCCTCCTCCAAGATCTGCTCTGAATTCTTTAGCTATGAAACCGCCTCCACTCCCCCCTAAACGATTAGCAATATCTGCAAGTTCAAAACCCCCTCCAAGACCACCGCAGTCTGACTATGATTATATTGAAAATTATCATACTACAACTTACACTGATGTGAATAGTCCTCCTCTTCCAGCACCAGCTAGAAAATTAAAACCAAACCAACAAAAACCCTCTGTTGAACCAGAGTATTATTTACAACCTTTTCCTTTACTTCCACCACCCAAAAAGAAAAATTTAAGTCCCAAAGAAGTATCCTCTGAACCAAATGCTTCTCCTAAACATAATCTTGTCAAAAGCTCATTAGATATTACACTAAGTCAACTCACTAAAACAGGATTTAGTGATTTAGCAGCAACATTGAACATGTCACCAACTTCATTATCCAAAATGACTTTACATGATCTAACTAAATGTTTGGCAAATTTATCAAATGATAGTCAAAGTAAAGAATCAGTCGGTAATAATTCCCCCAGTAAAAATTCTAAATCTAGTATTTTAAACAGTGAATGTTATTCAGCCCTTAGAGAATCAATAGAAGAAGATAATATTTCATTCACTGCTGAATTTGAAACCCATTTTAACTCTGGAAATAGTTTTGAAGGAAAACAAGAGGAATCTTTATTTGATAAATATGCTGTGTTTAGGGAATTGTTAGAAGAAGAAAAAAAACTAGCCATTTCGTTTAATGAAAATAATTCTGAAGAAGCACAATTACAAGCATCTAATTATACTGAAAATTCTGAGAATATAAAAGTAGATACCATTACAGAATCAAATGAAAAATCTGAAGAAAATCCTGTTGAAGATAGGTATGCAGCACTACGTGAAATTTGCTTAGATGATGTGGTTGAAGAAAAGTATGATGCTGATCTTAGTGATAAAGATGATAGTGTCATTGAACCTTCAAGATTAGAAGAAGATACTGATCTTTTACCTCAGTCCCGTCCCCATAGTGAAAGCACTGAATCGCCAACCATTACTATGAAGGAGCACCAGTCTATCATTGAAGCTACTATCATGGAAGAAGACACCAGTGCATTGGAAGGAGATGAAGAAGAGGTATTAGAAGAGTCAGTTGATGAAACACTGAAAGAATCAGCTGATCAGGCTTATGAGATCATAGACCATAATTTAAAAACTACAGGAGAGAGTAATGGTAATGAAATTTTTTCGCACGGTGTAGGAACTGTAAATGAAAGTAAACATTCAGTTGAAATCCCAAAGAATGATACTTCATCATGGGCCAAATTTGATGTTGAATTAGGGACTGTTGGAGAAAGCAGATCTAGTATTCATAGTGAAGGTCGAGCTTCTCCTTGGTCTGCTGAAAGTAAAGATAATGATTTGTCTCCTGCATGTAGAGACAAAAGAAAACACAGAAAAATGAAAAGACATAAACAAAATATTTGGCATGAAGATGAGGAGTCTGAAGAAGGATGGGACCCTAGGCCTGAACACAGTTCATGGAGCCCTTCCTGGAGAGAAAATGGTTGGAGTGATGGTGATTCAATGTATGATGATACTCCACCATATGTTGAGCGTGAATATCACAGTCCCCGAAGAGGGAGAAGAAGAAGAGTTTCCCCATGGAATTCAAGGGATCAATCTCCATGGGAAGAAGATGACAGAGATATTTGTGATGAGCAGTGGGAAAATTCACGTTGGCAAGATGAACCACGTCGGCAAGATGAACCACGTCAAAGGCCAAAGCATAGAGGTCCTTCATGGGAAGATGAAAGGAGGAGACATTATGAAGAATCTAGGAAACCCCGTAAACAAATGATTTGGTTAAATGAAGTAGACAGAAAAAGTAGCAGGGAATCTTTGACATGGGAAGATGAAGAGAGGTACTCTAAAAGAAATTATGGAGATAGACGGCGTAGAAAATATGATGACGATTTTCATAACAGAAATAGATGGAGAGAAAGGGAATGGTCTGAAGGAGGAATGAAAGTAAGCAATAGATACTATAAAGAAAGAAGTCATGATCCTCATTGGGATGTAGAATATAGTGATCATGCAGATGATGAAATTAGCAGGTGGCCACAAAGACCAAGAAGCTGTGAACGAGGTAGAAGGCAGTTTTCATTACATCATCCAGCTGAAGCTGATTTTAATGAAAGATCATCAGAAAGAAGATATATGCGTAACAGGGATGGACATTGTGGAGAAACTGATTACAGACGTAAAGCACACTCACACCAAACTCAAAAACAAAGACGTAAACATAGCCAAAACTCTCCTTTTGAAGATGACTTCTCTTCTCAGTTTGGCTTTTCTAAAGAAATGTCTAGTCCAGGGGGCTCTGATGCATTTGAATTGGATGTTAAACAAAATGCTGTTCCTTTTGAAGGAAGTGTGAAACAATTTGATCAATCAAAACAGACTGAATTTTCTCAGTTTAATAATCCAACAATCCATAGTTCAGATTATAATAAAGAAACTGCAAAAGTGAGCCGTTCTTACCAACAGTCTCCATTTGAAGATGATTTTACTCCACCAGAGGCTAGAAGATGCAGTGGTCGAAGTGCTTCGAGTGAATTAAGCGACCAAAGAGGTAGCGATGATGTTTTTTTCCCAAATTCAAATGAAAATGTTAAACAACCAAGAGGTGATACTATCCGTCGTCCCATTAGTACTACTCAACCAGAAATCAATGTAAGAACAATGACTAACAAATCAATACCAACAGGGGACCAGTCAAACTCTTGTGACATGGCTAGAGAATTTATTCAGACAGATTGTGATCAAGTTGATATTAATAATGCTCAACATATCAATGAAAGAAAACAAGTAGGCAATGAGTTTAAACTTCATGGATCTATTAAACGATCTGACTCTAGTAGTAGCCTGAGGAAATCCGAATCTGTTAATATTTTTGCACGTAATAATGATCCATTTGACGATGACTTCTTTTGTGAAGAAAGTACAAAAATTAATCGCAGCCGTGACAAATTATCTAGAAATATAATCAGTGACACCAAATGGAATGAATCTTTTGATACATTTAGTTTTGAAGATAAATAATATTTTAATTATAAGTTCCTGTTACCTTTTGAGATTTTTGTAGGTTCTTTTAATTTGTTTGTTACAATGATACTGATAGCAAATAAATACCATCTTTAACATCGATTTATTAAAATTTTATCAACCTCTCATAAAAGCAAGTATTATAAACAAGATGAAAATACTCAACACCTCCCCACAATCATACAGACATAAATCATTCAGACCTTACAATAATAAGACATCACCCACCAAATTGCCATGAGACCAATGTACACACCCAGTACGCCATATGACAATATTACCACTCCCTGATGACAGTAATTAAAATACATCTCACATCAATACAGACCCCCCCCCGCGATAAACCCATATACACCCCCCAATCATACCAACAACCCACAATTCCAAACAAAACGCACCCCTCACACCCACCCTCGCACAATACATAATAGTACCCAAAAAACAAACAGACATCCACTACCCACCCCCCACCAAAAACATCCAAATTGACACTTACAAATCCCAACCCAACCATCTTTAAAACTCCATTCATATCTCCCCAACCCCAATACTATAACCACCCACAAACCCCACATCTCCGCAAAAAACCACCACCTACACATATTATCAAACAAAATAGAAATTTACACTAAACAAAGGTGACAGTGTAATTAATAGCCCTTTTTTCTATATTAAAATAAGAAATTACAATATAAATGTAAATATTACCTAAAGTACAAATGTAACAATTATAAAACCCGACTTGAGTAATTATACAATACATTTAATAATTGTTTTACATAATTTATGAATTTGTTAAAATATTACATTTTTATGTAAATTGATTCTAGTCTTAAATTATATATTTATAGAGTAATTTTTTCTTTTATAAAAACTGAGACACATTTTATGAAAATATTTCTTTTCTTTTTTTTTTTAAGTATTGTTACCTTATGCTCATGAGTATTATTTTTATTATTTTCATATTAGAAATTTATTTTCTATAGTAACAACATTCTTAACTCATCTCATAAATGAGCTTTTCCTTTTCAAATCACAATTTTTTTATTTTTTTTTCATTTTTGTACTTTTGACTAATTATTTTGTTATTACCTTCTACATCATAATTTTACTTCTTATGATATTTTTATTTCATTTCATCTTGAAATTATCTGCTATTTTTTTGTTTCTATGTTAGATGTTACTATGAGTACAGACTTCAATTTTAATTTAATGTTCTGGTGAAATTGTATTGTTTTTAAAGTATCCTTTTCCTCTCACATTATAAAACTCAATTTAAAAATAACTATTTTCAGTTGATAAATTATAGCTCATAATAAGTTTCTGTTCTACAATTATCCAGAATACTAATATTAAAAGTAGCCTGATGTATTTAAGATATCATGCCATATTAATGTATTAACTGTGAGAGCAAAACCTAATTAAGTAAATTGTAAATTAATTAAATAAAACCAGTATAACCAGGATTTTTATTATTTTATTTGTTTTTAACTAGATTGATTGATTATTGAAGTCATTTTCATTAACTCGATTTTATGAGTCGTCATTTAAAGCATGTGATGTAGCCAATTTTAAGCATATACAGATAACAAATAAGAAATAAAATAGTGCTTGGTTTTACTTTAATTGAATGTTTGTTTTAATTCAGGAAAGTTACACAATAAGTGCATTTTATTTATCTGATAGCAAAAAAAATTTTCCTGATAAATTTGTTTCTTACAATTTACAATAGAAATTGATAAATTTTATTTTACATTATTTCATTATGAAAATTTAATAGTCTGATGTTTCAATTTTATTAACATTATGAATTTCCAATTTTAAGATATATTTATAATATACTCAATTTTAAAAAAAATCAGACCTTTTTTAACCTAACTTAACTAATTTTTGATAAATTAATTAAATTTTATCATTATATTTGTTTTGTACAAATGCCTCCCTCCAAATAAAAGAGACTTCAAAAAAGTTTTGAGATAGATAAAGGTATAGTAGAGTTATTGATTATGTGATTGGCTGGCTTTAATGGACTCAATTTGTTTTTTGTTTTTTTTAAAAAGGTTGATAATATTTACTCATATAGAAAAGAATCATTTATTGTTTTTTTCTCAAACATTTCAGGTCTTGGTGAAAAGGATGGAGATAAGTGGAAGTACTAAGTCTGTATTTTGGACATTTTCTGTTCCAGTAAGGGTCATTCATTTGCTGTGATATTTGGTAGTGGGAATAGGCTTAGAATTTTCATTGTTTCATTATTTATTAGATCTTTAGTTTTTTTCTCATTCATGTTTGTACTTATTTATGTTGACTGGTTTTCAGTTTATTTTTTCCAAATACTTTTTGTTTCCTCTTATGTTACATTCATGTCACCTAACTGAAGTAAAACATTTTTTTTCTTCAGGATAGTGTTTCTATTATTAACTTTTTAAAAAAGTTTTATTAATGAAAAATTTCTCACTCAATTGAGTACTTCCAGGTAGTAAAATTAAAGGCCAGATTTACCTAATATTTAAAATGTTTAATTTTCGTTTTATATGTGTAGTTGAAATTAGTTTGTTTTTAAGAATTAAGCATACAAAGAGTAAACCAAAGGTTCCTTTGGTTTATTGAACAGTGCTTCAGGAGTAAATCCTTTATATAAATACAATTAAAAATATATCTATGCATATGTGTGTATCAAGAAATTTTTAAAATAGTTCTTTATATGTCCACTGTAAAAAAGCTCACAAAAAAAAAAAAAAAAATACCCAATGTGTATATATGTAAACTGAAATAACATTATAGAAATATTTATGGTTTTATACATTTATTTGCTAAATATTTATTAACATTTCTTTATACTGCATATTTTCAATTAATTATTTTTGGATACTTTGTAATTATGGAACCAATTAGTAAGAAAATCATTTATTTCTTTACAGAGTTTTCGATATATATATATGTATATATATATATATATATATACATATTACATTCTTTATATGTTACATTAGAAAAAAGCTGGAATTTTTTCTGCATCTGGTAAATTTAATAGCATCATAGTGATTGCAATCTGCATGTAAAGTTGTTGTGATGTCATCACAAATCAGGATATCATGAAAACAAGACTATTAACAATATTGGCATTAAATATTTGGGTTATTTAGGCCTTATCATAGGTGTAGCCAGGTCGGACAGTTGATTTCCTCAAACATTAAAAAAAAATAAGTAAAAGTAGATAACCAAAATTCTAAATAACTTATTGATAGTTACAATTTTATTGTTAGTATTTCTACATTTTGAAAGAAATTAAATTTTTAAAAATGCCCCTCCACTTTTGGGGCAATTTTTTTTACCTGGTCATCCTCTTATGGCCTTATTATTAATACCAAACACATTTATGACTGTAGAAATTTTTAATCTTTTTTTAAGAAAAATTTAATAGAGATCCAGAATTTATATATTTCCTCTATTCTAAGTTTTTTCTTTCTTTTTTATTTGTTGCTTTTCATTGGAAAAAATAGTTAAAAGACATATACATATATAGTCTACTCTATATAGGACATAAGTATTTTATGGGATCATATCCTGAAATATTGTAGTTGCGGACAGTTGTGTATTAATATTATGATAGTATGATAAAAAAAATATGCTTTGAGTAAGCAGAATCATAAATAAGTTTTCTTTGAAATAAAAGTAAAAAGAAATCCAAATTTTCAAATGTTAAATAACATAGGCCAGAGTTTATAATGTTGATTTTAATTCTGTATATTTATTGTTAAATTCTATACTAGGCCACACAGGAATTTAGCTTGCAGCCACTTTACATATCATTGTTGAATCTTACCATGAATGAAGCCCTTCCATGCTGATTTTCTTTAAGCTGATGGAAACTTTTTATGTTCAGCAGTCCATAATTCTAAGTAATAAATTTTCAATGCAATAGTTCTTGAACTTAGCTTATCTTCTCAAAACTGATTATTAGTTAATATTCATTAATCAAGATATATTAAATTAATCCATTTAACTTGTTAATTTTTCAATTAATAATTGCAAACTAGAAATTAAAAAAAAATATTTTGCTTGAGTAATAATTAAATTTGAGTCTTGATTAGTTTTTTTTAAAATCATATAAAGAATAAACCACAAATTTTCTCTATCAGCAAACTCAGCCACAAATCCAGTATAGTTTTTGAAATGGAATAGCTGTACTGTTAATGTGTCTGACAGTTTGCTCATAGTCAAAACTCTTGTTCAAGTACACCTTTTATTTAATTTTATTATGAGAAGTTACTTTTTTCGCATAGTGACTAATTTTTATTGTCAAACATTTGAGTTTTAGTAGTGATTGTTTAATGATTGTCCATCATTATGAGATTGATAGGTAAATGCTTAAATCTTACAAAATTACTTTCAGATATGAAGGGATTACCTTTTATACCAAAAATTATTCATGTTTATACAGTTAATTAATTAATGTCACTTCAAAGTTCCTTAACCTGGCTAACTTAATATTTCAAAGATATTTTAATATTAAAACAAACATAAGTTTTAAATATTGTCGGAAACCACTGCTTTTGTTTTTCCAATTGAAAAAAAAAACATATGTTTAAAGTTCCTTACCTCTTGAGTCTATGGTTGTCTCTACTTTTTAGAGGTAATTGCTTATTCTGTTTTTATTTATTACTGTTTTACACTGACTATTTTTCATATTTTTTTAGTTTTCAAATTGTATTTTCTCATTTATATATATTTTTTAATGAATTAGTCTGTGTTTAATGTTTCTTGTAATATGAACTATGATCTGGTTCCTAACTTCTAAAAATAATTCTATTTTATTGTACCAGTCAAAGCTTCATAATTGGTACTTCAATAAATTAATATTTTATGTTATTATAAATTTTTATTAAAGAGTAAGAAATTAAAAAAAAAAAATTTTATCATTATTTTTATTTATGATGCCACATTTATTCTTTATTAAAAATGTCTTCTTCTTTGAACCTTGTATGGAACAGTATTAATTTAGTGAAATATTATCACTAGGAATAAAAAGTATTTTGTAGTTATCCTTTATCTAATTACGAAACCAGAAAAAAAAACCTTATTAATGTAACATCATATC